GGCTCATCACTGTACAAAGTCCAGTTGTTGGAGAAGGATATCATGTTTGGTAAGGTGGAGGGACAGAGAAAAAGAGGAAGACCCCAATGAGATAGACTGGCCAAGTGGCAGCGTCAATGGACTCAAGCGTGGCAACAGTAGTGAGGTTTGCCCAGGATTAGGCAGTGTTTCATTCTGCTGTGCATAAGGTTGCTATGGGTCAGTACCAACTCAATGGTACCTAACAACAACAACAACAGTCCTGGTGTGGTGCCGTAGGATAAGCACTGGACCACAAGGTCAGTTTGAGCTACAAAATCAGCAGTTCAAATCTACCAGCTGCTTCTCAGAAACCCTACACAGGTAAGTATGAATCAGAATTGATTTGTTGGCACTTAACAACAACAAACTGCATAGTAAGCACCTGATAAACATTACTGAATCAGACTACAGGCTAATCAAGAAGATCACAGTTAAATCAGAAGGGCTAGTGCATATATTCCCCCAGGTCACTCCACAGAGAGCAGACCGGTTCAATGTTTGGTTGAACTCCAAGTTCTGTGTTACTTCTTATATATACTCAGCTCTAGAGTCTCATTTTTTTCATTACTTTCTAGGGTGAAAAACTTTGCTAAAAAAACGTATTGCCAATGAGCTTTTTTGTTGTTGTTAAGTACCGTGGAGTCAATTCCTACTCATAGTGACCCTGCACAGGATTTCCGAGGCTGTAAATATTTACGGGAGCAGAAAGCCTCATCGTTCTCCTGCAGAACAGCCGGAAGTTTTGAACTGCCGACTTTAAGGTTAGCAACCCGATTCGTAACCACTTTGGTGGTGGTAGTGAGGGAGTGCTTACAGCAGTGTTTCTGTTTTTTTGTTTTGTTTTGTTTTGTTTTACCACATGCCATTTCCCTCCACCCCCATGAGCCTTTTTAGATACTTTTTCTAAAACCTCTTCCCCTCCCTGAAATTTAAAGGAACTCTGGTAGACTAGTGGATTATGAGCTGGGCTTCTAACCTCAAGGTCAACAGAGTCCTGGTATGGCGCTGTAGCATAAATGCTGGAATGCTAATCTCAAGGTCTGTGGTTCAAGCCTACCAGTCACTCCTTGGAAACCCTATTCAGGGTCTTCTAAGTCAGAACTGACTTGACAGAACTTAACAACAACAACAAAACACACATACATGAGGGGAATTCAAAAACTTTTATATATAGACTATGGAATTAAAAGATAATTATCCCATGAACTTATTGAACCCTGTGGCATTGTAGGATAATCATTGGATCGGAAACCACAAAGTCAGCGGCTCAAACCCACCAGCCACTCTCAAACACTGTACACAGGATCTCTATGAGTCAGAACCTACCTGATGGCACTGAATAAACAACAACACATACATATGGGTTATGCCGTGGCTTTGTAGAATTAAGTACTGCACAGCAGTTCAAACCCCAAAGTTGCTCTGTGGGAAGAAGATAAGGCTTTCTGCTCCCACAAGATTTACCACTTCGGATACCCTATACAGGCTCACTATGGGTCACAGCAACTTGACAGTATGTAACAACAAAAACAACATACGACAAATTGTTGATAAGTGATGTTGAATCAGCTTTGACTCTGTGTAGGGTTTCTGAGGAATGGCTGGTGGGTTTGAACTGCCACCCTTATGTTTACCAGTCCAGTGCTTATCCTACAGTACCATACTAGGACTCCAACAACATATACATATATATGTATGCTGTTGTTAGGTGTTGTCGAGCTGATTCCAACTCATAGAGACCCTGTACAGAGTTTCCAAGGAGTAGCTGGTGAATTTGAATCACCGACCTTGCAATTCAAAGCAACCTTGAGGTCTAGTGTATTATCCCATACCAGGACTCCTTACATATATATATATATATATGTACGTACATAATATATACATGTACGTATATGTTATATGCCATTGAATCGATTTGTGTGTGTATGTGTGTTTGGATTGATTCTAACAATATATGACAAAGTAGAACTTGCTGTTAGGTTCCACCATGTTGGTACTGACTCATAGTGACTTTATGTACAACAGAACAAAACACTGCCTAATCCTGGGCTGACCTCACTATTGTTGCCATGCTTGAGCCTAATGATGCTGCCACTTTGCTAATCCATCTCTCTGGGGGGGTCTTCCTCTTTTTTTCTGAGCTTCTGCCTTACCAAACATGATATCCTTCTCCAATGACTAGTCCCTACTGACAATATATCCAAACTATGAGAGATGAAGTTTGGCCACCCTGGCCTTCAAGGAGCATTCTGGCTGCACTTCTTCCAACACAGATCTGTTGTTTTTTTT